CAGTGCTAGGCTGATCGCGTGCAAGAGAAGTAGCCGCTCTCTCGCTTGCGGAACGCGACAATGAGCGTAACGGGACAATGACATCATCTTTTTTGTGCACACAGCCCGTTGTATCGAGATTTAAGACGCTGTAAAGTCAATAATAATAAGTGTAACGAAGTGTGCACCTAATATAAGTCGTATCGCCTTTCCTGAGGTGTGTTGCATCTCAAGAAATCTCGAAATACTGACTTTTAGTTGAATCTGATCAATCAAATTAATTAAACCATCTGCTAGAAAGATATTGTTAATATCAGTGTACCTAGTACCAAAATCAATTTGATTTACTTTTTGTTTGAAATCTACAAAGTAACGATTTCGTGGAAACGTTACCAGGCTAATTAAGACAGAACTAAAATAATAGCTAGAAGTAGGTGACGCTGAGGTAAGGGCAAGAAGGTAACTATCGTCGGCCTATTTAGAAAATGTCTCGCACTTTTCTCTGTAATTAGGAGACGTATTAATACGAAGGTTGTGTAAAAGTCAAAGCGAATGTAAAAGCTCTCAAAATGGAACCAGGTCAGGTCAGGTACTTCATAACGCTGTGGTAACGAATCAGAGAATGAGTTTGGGAAGCATTAGGTAGGTACATACATGCTTACGTAACAATACCTTCTCCTAAATTATAGCTGAGCAAGTACTTCGATTGTTAAGTAGGGTTTTAAATGTATTCCAGATTTGAAAGTGTTTTTTTAGTTGCTTTGTGGTGGTATGAGCTGTAGTACAGAGTAATGTATTTTATATTAGTGCTTATCTGTTAGGTTTCGAATCGTATTTTCGTCCCGAGTTAATTGTTTCAAATACTCTTAACTTGATATCACCTTATCTACATATCTAGAAAAATTAAATTGCCAAGAAATAGACAATTAATTACTTATTATTTTACAAAACATATTGCTGTAAACAGTATCCTGTATTTAAAGTATTGGTCTAAAATATCGACCAATAAATAATATTTTAATGAGTAAGTAAAGTTCCCCACTTTCCGTAACGACGATCCTGTAATTACGAACAGATGGGTACCCTGCACCGCAGCACCGCCATAACTTTTTGTCGCCTTATTTATTACACAAATGGTAAGAAAGGCCGAACATACGAGTACCGACTTTTATTGTGTAACTATTTCTATTAAATATATAATATTCAATATGAAAACATTATTTCCTTATAATAGCTCAGTTCATAGAAGAGACTTTGTCAGTTATACTTGGTATATATTATTTAATACAATACATACATACAAAACTACTTTACTCTAACTATCGTTCGGTGGCTTTGACAGTTGAAATGAAATGCAGTTCTGCTTATTTTATAATCTATTTCTTGTAATTGCACTCTTAGCGTCTATTTTACAGTGGCACTATAATGATAAATGTGTCATATGAATTAGAAAATCTTTTGCCTATGCATGCCTTTTTACTTCAGGTAGTCAAACATCATCGGTACCGTAAATTAAAAACAGAATTCCAGTAAATCACGTTAATATTCATCCTGACGGACCAGGAGATGTCCTTATTATGGATTTTTCGCCATTGGACTTAATATATTAGTGTGATTTTTAGGGCAATTTAGTCATAATATCTGGTATTTCTTACAAATAGCAGATCGACCTTCATCAGCTGCACTGTAGGGAGCGAAATTTATTTGAGGCAGAAGAAAGCGTAAACTATAAACATTTTATAACATAAATGTTGTAACGTTTTAAACATATTTCTAGTGTAATTAACACCGACATAATATGCTTTACGTGACGGCAGTGAATTCGTGCCTTAGGAGCCGACTAAGTGTGTACACATTTGACAAAAGCCGAGCTGCAGCACTTTTGGTAAACTTGAACTTTAAAACGTCGTATTCGGCTAGCCAAGACTGATTATAAATATTAAGCCAATCTAAAAGAGGTCTATAGTCTACCAGTCAACAGTAACAATAATTTAAATAAGTGTTAAGACTAATAATTTTACAAACGCGAAACTTTGTAAGTATTGGTATCTATTATCTGTTTTAAGAGAAAACTACTGAACGGATTTAAATGAAATTTGACACAGAGATAAAACATCGTGGGGAATATTGGACTTATATATTTTTTTTTATGTAATAAGTCTGCAAACGAGCATACGGATTACCTGATGGTAAGCAATCAACGCCGCCCAAGGACACCCGCAACGGAGGAGTTACGAGTGCGTTGCCGACCTTTTAGGGATTAGGGATTTGGAGATTTAGGGATCGGGGAAGGGTCCGGGAAGGGGAATGATTGGGCCTCCGGTAACCTCACTCACACGGCGAAACACTACGCTGTGGTTGTTTCACGCCAGTTTTCTGTGAGGCCGTGGTATCACTCCGGTCGAGCCGACCCATTCGTGCCGAAGCATGGCTCTCCCACACTTATAATTTCTAATTTATAAGCTCGAAATCGCCAAATTTATCTCTGTGTCAAATTTCATTACAGTCTAGTCATACATAGGCTTTATATATCCTCGTATTTAGGACGAAGCAACTGGCAGAAGTTAGCGTAAAATATTGTACCTATCTTTGTGTTAACCTTGAACATAAAATTTCATAAGTTTGATTTGCTTCTTGACCTTACCAGTTAACTTAATAATTAAGATGTTGGGAACCTCTTGCTCATCCAACCAAGAAAATGAGATCAAGTTTTGATCCCATGCGGTTTTATACATACATACATATATTAATATCTACCCAAAACCAATAAATTGACTATTCGGTCATTTAGGGTTTGAATATTTTAATAATTCTATTTTAATAAATACTATAGTTGGTAATAAAAACGATAAAAATAAATTAAACATATGTTAATATATTTGTCAGTAAAAAGCACTCAATTTTCATTTTAAAACAACCAATATTGTGAATGAAATCTTCTAAATAGTGAAGATGTTCTAAGAAGATTTATTTAGATCTCGTCGCAAAAGCCTTCGTCACATTTCAGAAAAAAAAACATTTATGATTTATGACCCTTTTTTACTTGGCTAAGTCCTTTTTACAACTAGGGCGGGTCGGCACGGCACTAAAACTTGCCTTGGTAATGACGGACAAACTGCCATCTGAACTACGAACTTTCAGAATTTCGCCAATTTATAGACCGACCTCAGCAATCTAGCTCCAATCAAAAAGCACGCTTAGGACTAGCATATATTATACTTTATTCTGTTTTAGACCTTAACACATAAAGAAACAAAGTAAAAATCGGTCGATAGTTGCATGATTGACAATTTCGATGTATCTAATCACTGGATACATCAAAAAATTTGATGCGGTTGTTTTTAATAGATAGAGTTATTGAAGTGGAAGATTAAATAAAAAGTGGAGGAATTTAGTATCAGTATTGCACCCGTGCGAAGTCGGGGCAGGTCGCTAGTATTATATATTTACAAAATTAAACTTTAAGATATCTTTAACGATTAATTTAATTTTTAGCTTCTTGGGAAGAAGAATGAGTGTACTCATTTTTCAAGGTAACTTAACCAGATTAGTAATTAGATTTTAGCTCAGTTTTTAGTAAAGAAACGTCTTCGTTAAGCCCACTATCGTTCTTTGCCGGTTAACTAATAAATAAATATAATAATTATAAAATTTACCCACTCGTGACCCACCAAAATAACAAAGTCTGTAAAAATATCTCAAATTTATTTTTTGTTGAATTCACTCCAGAATGGGATTTTAATTTTACAAAACAACTGATGCATTAAGTGCTGTAGGATGTCAAACCGTATAATTTGCAATGACAGTCAAGAATTTAAATGCAGATTTAAATAAATATTTTGGGGCTTTTGTCGTTTAATTAATATAATTACTGTCACGTCCAATGTCTTTATTAAAAGCTGTCAGCTATATGACCACCTTAACGTTGAAATATTAGCTTTAGTACGAAAATATTAAGTATAGAAAATAGTACGTACTAGCTACTCTCACGCGGTTTCGCCCGCTGTTCGGCTCCATTCGATCCTAGCGTGATGTTTTATTGCCTATAGCACTAAGGAACATTGAAGCTATCTATCAGTGAAAGAATTTTGGCAATCCGACCGGCGGTTCCAAAGATTACCCCCTACATACAAACTTACAAAGTTACAAATTTTACCTCTTTATAATATTAGTACAGATATAAATAAGTAGTGATGATTTTGAAAGTGTGGCAGAGTTATGCTTCGGCACGAATCGACCGGAGTGGTAGCACGGCCTCACAGAAAACCGGCGTGAAACGATCACAGCGTTGTGTTTCACCGTGTGACTAAGGTTACTGGAGGCCCAATCCTTGACCCCCCTGCCCCCAAAACCCCTTATCCCGGTACAGTATAATGCCGGCAACGCACTTGCACCTCCTCTGTTGTTGTGGGCGCTGATTGCTTACCATCAAGGAATCTATCTATTCGTTTGCCAACGTATAACTTAAAAAATAAAAGCATTATTCCATTACAGCTATGTAACTGATGTTTATTTCACTGAAATCAATATTTGCAGATGCAACTCAATTACTACTATCATGTTACTTTCATGTTTGTTCGTTTAAACTCCATAAACCAGCTTATTCTCGGATATTGAAATTTCCACGTATCTACAAAGTTAACTAAAAACTAAAATAAACCTGAATAACTTTTAGTCAAATATTGGGGCAAATTACAAACCGACCATTTCTGTTAATTGCCGTTAGAACTGGACTGCTGTAGACCAACAGTAACCCAGCAAATAAACTGTTTCGAGGTACTGACTAACAACTAATCCGCACAGATACAGAACAATTCCTTAACATCAGAAGGTAAACAGTTAAACATGTCTGGTTATGTAACTGGCACTGGTGTGTTTACTACTACATGGCAAACTATACTAGTTTACGCAACAGATTTGTTAGTCAAATTAGTTTTGCAGATGAAGTTGATTCCGAAGGTGGCTTCATTATGATCCTAGTTAAAATGCAAACAAGATGTAAAGTAATAGAATAAACATACCTTTGGTTGTTGTTTTTTCCTGGCTTCGCTTCGGAGTAAGGAGCAACGTAGTGCATTTCTTTCAGCTACGCGGCGAACCGCTGCCTCCTCAGTCTTGGGTCTGACGCCCGCGTCCCATGCTCTAAGTGAGTGAGAAAAAAAAATACATAATGAAATAACGTTGATAAAATGTGATAAAGAAAACAAGCAACAGACTACGACGGCAAGCGCTATTCAGCGGCAAAACAAAAGATAACGAAATAAAAATAACGTCGAAAACAAAGGGTTGAAAAAGTAGCAAAATAAATGAAGCGTTCATACCTCAGCGTTTCAGAAGTGACTAACTGTGGTTCGATGGCGGGCGGTGGCGGTCTGCCGCTGTTGAACAACTGCTGAACCGCCGAATTAGCTTTTGGCGCGTTGATCGTTAGGATGAGCGGCGTCTCCAGTCTATCGGAAATAGTTGACGTCAGAACAATGCAGCGATAAAGTTTAACCCGGTAACTCCGTCTACGACAAATACGTTCTTTTATCGGTTAGCTGGGTATAATAAAACGAGCCCATAGTTTTCTATATTTAAACTACTATTTTTATAATGTTGATGTATAAAATTAGTATTTTCTTGCCTATTTTAACAAAATAAATAAATTACTTCATTAACGTTTTATTACGTTTTAAAATATTTAAAATCTAAGCTGGTAACAAATAATATATGACTTTGGCTGTCGGTATAACTCAAAGCTAATAATTTTCGTTAGCTGTCTGGCAAGCGTTTTAAGGACTAAAATAAATCTGATATTTATTCAAGCAACAAGAGTGAAACGTCCATTTTTCAGAGTTGTGTTAATGTTTCGAAATTACGGCTTTATTTGTGGAAAACTGCTTAGTAGTAGCTAGTATTTAAATATTTTATTTGATGTCTTTCGAAATATTGTAATCTTATTTTGGTTGAAATATGGAAAATACATACGTGCATAATCCGGTAGTTTCCAACTGGACTTATTCAATACTTTTATTTAAAATCAAAATCTTTACCAATCTAAAAATTTCGTATGAAATCGCAACATATGACGCCATATTTTTTTAACGTCAAATTATATATGTCCATTAATTTGAAAAAAAAATCTACAAATAATCTAAAATTAAGTATATCGTCAAATCAATGAATGAAAGTATGATTTATATTTAAATTTAAAAAAATCATTGTATTAATTAAAAAGTAAAAATGATTTATTTTTGAAATAGGAAACCCAATTATGTTCAAATGCTACGTTAATAAATTGCTTGGGCAATAAAGGACGACATAGTCATTAAGTAATATTAAATTGTCATATTCAATATCAAATTTCGAATCTATACAAACGGTTAATTAACTGTCATAGACATACATACATATATGTACACAATGCTAATATTAACATACACTCTCTTCAGTGACGACGGCAAATACTATCTTAGGTAACGTATTTGCTCTCTCGTTTACTGAAGTGTAGTCTTAGGTTGCATTTGTGTGATCAACATGTATCACCTCACAGCTCTCTATTAATACAATTTCTTGTATAAGTAAATACATTTATGTAATTATTAGCTACTCTCGCGCGGTTTCACCCGCTGCTCGACTCCATTTAATCATAGCGTGATGTTTTATAGTCTATAGCAGTCAGGAACATTGTAGCTATCCATCAGTGAAAGAATTTTGGCAATCCGACCAGCGGTTCCAAAGATTACCCCCTACATACAAACTTACACAAATTTTACCTCTTTATAATATTAGTATAGATATTACCGCCATTGTGACGCTTAAAGACAAAGCCCGACTTATGTGGTTTTGATTCATTCTCTCTACAGTTTTATCGCAAAATAAAATCCAAGAACTTTTGCTTGAAAATGTTTTTACATTGTACCAAAATAATAGATAATATTGGAGCCAAATAGAGGTATTTTCTTTATTCTTTATTTATTTATTATTATAAGGTAGGCTCACAGCTTATGTACACAGAGTTGTTAGAAGTATTCGTTATAGGTAGGTCTTATACATTAGCCAGTTACGAGCTAAACAACATTAAAAAAATCATATAGCAGTATAATTCTGGTTCTTGGATTAGCGATTCGATTTTTGATCGGGTTGCATTTCTAACATAAGTTCTCCTCCCAGTCTGATTGCAACTCGCTTTTAATAACCCTCCCTTCACCCTTCAATTAACATCCTGAATGAGAAACTCAGCTATTCAATCAATGACTAATTAGGCTAGTTGATTGCGACACACATATATGAACATGTACAGAGATACTGAGACTGACAGTCTACCGTTGTTTTTTTTTAAAGTAAAACTATCTTGTTTTCTTTGTATATTTGATTGGGATTATATTGTAAACTGTACCTAAGGTTTTAATATTATGCGAGTGTATAAGTTGCCATCTATACTAATATTATTAAGCTGAAGAGTTAGTTTGTTTGAACGCGCTAATCTTCGGAATTACTGGTTAGAGGAAGGCTATAGGATAAACAATTACGCTACGATCAGGAAGATCCAAGCAGCGGGTAAAAACGCGCGTGAATTGATACTACTAACTACTATTATTATAAAGAGGTAAAATTGTAAAAAATCTAATTTGTAAGAATGTATGTACCTAGGGGATGATAAATTTTGAAACCGCTGGTCGGATTCCCAACATTTTTTCATTATCATTAGATAGCTACAATGTTCGTGATCGCTATTGGCTATAAAACATTATCACGATCAGTTAGAGCCGAGAGCAGTTAGTTAGAATTATTTAAAAAAGGCAGGATGTAAGCTTTTTATTCGAATTAAGTTTGAAATGTGTCATTATGTTACTCGTCAAAAAGGTGTCGGTGCAGCCACACGTGTCGTGTTAGTTGAGTGATGCTTGTAAACTATCAATCAACAAATAATGTTCATCGCTACTTGACTAAAATATTTACAATATTAAGAGGTGAAATTTTAGCGTCCTCGTTGAAAATTGCTCCTAATAATTTATTTTTAATGTCGAGTTTAGAGGTCACAGCAACAATTATAACTTGGGATTTTTTATAAAATCTGCCACTTCAGAAATGTGATAATATTATAATCCTAAAATGAAATCTTACTTTTAATATTTCTCTGTAAATAGCAAAGACAGAAAGATAAGAAAGAAAATAATCATAATTGTTTGTCAAGGTCAAGCAATTTTTAAATATAAAACAGGTTCAGACTAATTCTCTTCGGTGAGTGCTATCTATTGTACTTATTTTGAAAAGGCTTTAAGTAGATTTAATTGTTATCAGCGATCATGGGTTTCATACAGTAAGGACTACTCCAACATGATAATTCAATGACAATATAATATAGCGCAGCAATGAAAAAGGTACGATGCTGTTCTTTTAAATAGCAAAAATTACTTTTATTATTTTGGTTCATGTAGTAAATCGTTCCAAGCAAGTCTGGCAATTTTCATTTATATAATATCGTCAACCTAAATGAAATGAAATGAATACATATCGTACCTCTTTGCATAAGTATTAAACATTCTTATACCTGTGAGTTCCACTTGTGGAGTTATATTCCTTTTGTTGTGTTGTCATTTCACTATTTTCTGTTTGAGTGTGAACCGTTTCTGGTTCTTTCTTCGGGTGATCTTCTTCAGAATCTTTTGGCCTTTCTAAAAATCGAACAGATCGTGGTGTGATGGAACCGTCCTCGTCACTGGCTGTTGTTGTGGATCGCTGGTCATCATTCTGTTGTCAGAAATAATAAATTAAACTACTAATCTTTAAAAGCATAATATATAAACTGAACGTACTTTTTTAACCCAGTCAAAGTGCCACAAGTAAGTGGTACATTTCTTTGCTCACGTTTCTACCATTTTGTTCCCATACTTGCAGTAAGGTAGTGTCGGAAGTTAAGTAATTAATTTAGTGTACTCAACAGAATTATTTATCTTGAAACTTGTAGTGAACAAAGAACAATAAACTTGTACATTTGTGCAGTTTAATCGCATAATAAAATGTAATAACCTGTTCATTTATGTCCTTGTCTGTGTCCAACGACTTCCATAGCCTCCCCCCTTTTAATATTCCCCCCCGACGCTGCGGTAACGGCGAGCACTCGGAAGATAGTCTGCCATCGGTATCCGCCGTGTCGCTGTCTTCGCCTGCGATAAATAAATCTAGATTTATTTTTACTTCAACAATAGAAAACACACTTAAACACAAGATTTATGCTGAGGGGACCATCGTCAAATAGATTCCAATTCTAGAAGAGCAAGCTCGTTTGTAGTGAGGTCGAATAGCAAGAGCTCCTTCAAATTGCTACAGTTTTATTTCCAATTAAGATAAAGCATTTCTTTCTCTTTGCTGGAAAAAAGTTGTTCCACGTTGAATTCTTGAGATTACGTAATTGGAAAACCAAAGTCGCTAATTGCTTTTTAAAGTTCTTCTTTCTATTTAAATGTAGTTTTCAACTGGCTGAAATATTAATCTACATAACCATGGTTTTTATGCCATGAAATGGAGTAGTTTAGTAGTCATATAATATTTTAAAATTGGATTTCTAAAATGACCTTAAAAAAGAATAAAAATATATTTGAATACTCAAGTTTTGAATTTTTAACCGTGTTCAATAGAACGGTTGACGGCTATTCATTTTAGTGTGGTACGCTGACACCGTACAGAAAATATATCCTTGAATGCCGTAGACACATTTCAAGAGAAATCTACCAATCTAATGAATTTAGTTTTGAGAGACATTTCACTGAACCTTTAGTGTTCCCTTTCAATGCAATCAAAGGTCACCAGATGGAAATCTTTCTTATCATTGCCAATTAAAAGTATTGAAATCGGAAAAGTGCCCTTTTCAATCGTTCCGGATTCCAAGGTTCCGTTCCGTTCTCGTCTCACACGAAATCCTAAATATAGGTTGGAGGTATACTTAAAACTCAAATTACCTAACGTCAACTCGATCTCAAGTTTATGACTGAAGATATTCCGCACATAACAATAAAAATCATTATAACGATAAGTTTTCTCGTCGATATTTTGACCCATGTCACATTAAAAGGTAAGCCCAGTCTGAGTTCGCAATACAAATTAAAAAAGAAAAAAACAAATCAGTGACGTCATTCTGGAAATGACAAGGATGGGAACATGTGGGTTTTCCTTCTACTGTAATGAAAATGTTTTTCCCATGGGAACTACTATATTCGCTATCCAGAGGAAAAATCAAATGTGACTTTAGTTACCCGGTCGGTTCAACCATTAGAACGTACTTTTTTAATATTGATTGACTGTGCCTACAAATAAAAAAAAAACACTCGATATAGTGTAAAGATTTCTGTGAAAATTGTTAAGTGACAATGAAATTTTATGTAAAATACGTGCGTTTAGCTTAACATATTGTACAAATAAAAATAAATCACCGAGTTGAATGTCAGCTAACATCTTTTGGAAGACCGTATAAAATTCGATGAAAACCTTCTTTACTCTTCTTATCATTTAGTTTTTCAATCATCACTTTATAGTACAAAGTTGTTTTCTCCGTTCCCATTTTCCGAAAAGATAAAAGTCCCAGTTTAAAACTACGCAGCGTATTTATATGCGGATTTATTTTTAAAACAAAGAGTGCTTGAAGAGAAAGTTGTATATGTATATTCTTTTTATCTCAATTTTAAGGAGTATATGTATAATAACATCCATTAGATATTGGAAAACTTAGTGTAAGCCTTGCAATCCGTGCGAAGCCGGGGCGGGTCGTTAGTACTTGATAATTATATAATTATTCTTGTCATTGTTATTAATTTTCACTGAACTAAAATGCAGAATTTCAATCGAATATAAATATAGTTTTGAATAGTAAATACAATATGTATCGTAGCGTTATACAGTTTCTCGCCGGGTCAGCGAGCAAAAAGTAATAATTTTTACTTTTTGCCTTTTTTATTTAAAACACGAGCGTTACCGAATTGAAGGCAATTATTTTATTAAGAGAGTAATAAAAATTGGTTTGTACGTTGAAACCGTTTTTCTCTAATAAATTACGATTCCTACAATGAATCAAATAATTGTTCTTAATTATATTATGTTGAAGAAATCACGTAATTTGATATAGAGAGTATATTGTTGTTCATTTTCTGAAAGGGAATTAATAATTGTTATTTTTTCTATCTCATAAAGAATTGTTTCTTGTTTTTATTAAATTAATTTGCTATTTTATGGATACTAGGAATACTTGTGTATAGTGTACTTAATTTTTGTTTGGTAATTGCTATAACCGTTAAGTACCTCTTAAAAAAAAAAAACAATAAATTTTTCAAAATTGGAAATAACATTTTACTACTTAGTTAAATAGTAAGTAAGACACTACAACTTTAATAATTACAATGTCAATAATAAGTAAAGTTGCAAATAAATTACAAGACATTTGTCCTTACGGGTATAACTTCGGTGACTGTCACATCAGGTCCTGATATTTCACGGATGGCCGATATTAGATATGGAAATGGGTCAGTGGGTTCCCGAGGGAACAGCAAACAACACGAGAAAGGGTTAGTTTACTAACATGGCAATATTTAGGATTTTCACATATAATCATAGGTACTTAAGGTACACATAATGTGATAATTGTTTTGTAAAATGAGATTACTTCAACCTTTCATTGTGGCGCCTTTATCTCTCGTTATTGTGTTCAAACTGTGTAGGCAGGTGACCTCTTTATTTGAGAACCTAATTCAAAATATGATAGGCAAGGGCTTACAGTGTTAATGTGTTAGGTAATGGTAAGGTTACATTGTATACTGATTCCTGACATTCAGAACATAAAGTTTTAATTGCAATATTTTATTTTTAACAATAACGTTAGTAGTTACGGTCAATGAGGCATCCACATCCACTCATAGTCAATGCTTTCGAGAAAGCAGCTTGTAAACAGTCGAGTGAAACTTCAAGTGATTCGGCTTCATCTACATTTCTTTTTTGTAAAATGTTGCCGTGTCAAATTACTGTTTTATGACCTTTTTACTAAAATAAAATTATTTCATTGAAAAGTATTTGAAAAACTTTTGTCTTTTTAATAAATAATAATTAATTACTTGCTTGGCGTTGTAGTACCTATACTACTACATTTCGATTTATTGCTTTCCAAATATTTACATACATAACACGCAACCAGGGATGATGGGAGAGTGAGAAAAATTAAAAGTATATTTTGTTCAAAAAAATATTAGGTAAGTATCATTTGTTTTTGTCGCATGAAAACATACCTAAACAAGGGAAAGCAGGCCGACAATAGAAGTAAACAATATTTCAAATGAACATTAATTTAATGTAAAGATAACATAATAAAGAGAAAAAAAATAATATTTTCTAAATAAAATTTTTAAAGTTGAATTCGTCTGTAAAAATATTTATGGTTCTACGTTTGTTCACCAGAGCAATGAAAAGTACATAATATGTAAATACACACAGCAATCGTTTGAATCGAACAGACCAAAAAGGTTATAAATTCATTTAAAAATAATTTGTTTCGAGCCAGTGTACCAATTTTTATTCATAGTGAATTATATATCCGAGTAAGTCTACTGAACAAAATCGAGTTATAATGTATTTTTAAAAGCCCTACATTGTCTTGGCCTCAACACTTAGAATACTGATTTAGTTCCCGATAACAAATACTTAGGTCCGGCCTAGATATGGGACAACATCACAATTTTCTTTATTTCCCCTCGGCATCTCTCCATAACGTCTTTGCTTTTAGATCAGGAATTTTTTATTGCAGCAAATATTTTTAATCTTAAGATTATTGTGGTATTGCATTGCCATCGACCCAAACTCTGCAATAACTTCTGAAAAGTTATCACGTAATAAAACTCAGGTGGAAGCGATGACGCAACCATTTTAATATATATTTTAATATAAATATTTTGCCCAGAATACTAGTAATTTTCTGTAATTAGCTGCAGACGAAACAGTTGACCTGATCGCGGTTTGCTCGAATGAATCAATCATGCCGTCGTAATTTATCGACTGGTGAAGGTTTTCAGAATGGCAAAAGCTCGATGTGTATTGCGGTGAAATTATCGCTTATTCAGATGTACTCTCACAATTTATGCAGATTTTGTAAAGCCAAAGGGCATGCCTCGGGAGGAGTGGAAATGTTGATCGGTACAGTATGCAGTTGGGCAAACCAAATAGTTCGACCAAAACAAACCAAAAATGAGCCGTGATATGGATATCAATACTTTTATTGGTGTTTAATGTGCTTCAGAGCTGATTACTTATTGAGAGTATAATTTCAGAATGCAATAAAAGAAATGGTTTACATTTGCATGCATGCTATTTTGCTGTAGTCGGTTGCGGATACCGCAGTCAACTCTCAGCTATGATGAAACTGTAGGCTGCAGTTTTTTCGTTTGTCGCGAAAAACGTCCGAGCTCCACGAGCTGTCTGGCATGATATTCAGTCGGCCGCACTCTCGGCAACGCCTGGCTAGCACTTTTTTATAGCTTTAGTGCGACCAAAAACTCGCAATAAAACAAGCTTTTCTATACAACAAAATATTGTTGTTCTGAACCCGGGTGTTATGTTTCTGTGTTAACGTTTGTAAACGAAAACTCTAGTGTGGGAGGAGGCTAGTGTTTCGTACTTTTTAGAGGGAAAAAAAGAAGTATTTTATCCATTTTTGTAAGCAATTTAACAATATGAAGCGACGAAGGCAATCTGTTGTATCGCCAATATCCCGATGTGCCTAATCGTAGTAGAATACCCTCGACAGGTATCTTCGCTATTCCCAAAGGTATGCTTAAAAAACTATAAATAGCTCTGGTAACACATTATACTATTTTGGAGGTACTAGTCAAAATAACTAAGTTCTAATAAAAGCAAAGTTAAAAAAAAACTTACGACATGTCCTCATTATCAGAACAATGGATTCATAACTTGATTTCTTGTACCTACGCAGTTGAAGGTCCATCATATCTTTCAACTCCATCACCAGACTAGGTTGTACGTCATTATAGGACCTATATAAAATGTATGGAATATTGTATGGTCAACAAATGAAAATAATTTTATGTCGATACAAGAATGAAATTAATCTATAAAATCGAATTGAATTACCACTAAAAGATTACGGTCGATTTGCAACTTCATTTATAATTAGTGTAATTAATATTCTTGTAACTAAATGTATTCCATAGCAAATAGGTGAACGTTACTAAATCCACATATAAGATAAGCTAATGAGACTAGAAGTTAAATATACACTTTCTTAAGATATAAATATAAATATGAGAATTGTCAGTGAAATTCATCCGTTTTAGAAAAGTCTGGTAAATTTTATCTAGCCATCTTTTCTTTACGTTTTAGTGACCTAGATTTCGTTTTCTTGTATCAAGATTAACGGGACATAACATTTTAAAGAAGGTCTCCACATCTCTCCAGAAATACGGTGGACAAGTTGAAATGTAGTGTAGGTGTGCACCGAGGTCACATTTGTCGGCTGGATAAGTAAGTGCAAAGTCAAGAAAGACAGAAGATGAGAGTGTAATACATTTTAGAATCCAATTTTATGTTGAAACAACATAGTTTACCGGTAAAGGGCAATGTAGATTGTTGGTTTACATACGATCAGTGTTACGACCTAAATAGTATTTGAGCGTTTGTCTACAAAGAGAACTGAAAACTCAATGTATTAAAAAGACATTGAAATGTGTTAAAATTGAAGCCAATCTAATGAGAACAATGTTCTCTCTCCTGCAGACGCGCGCTTAGGTGTAATTTGGAACACACAATACCGTTTCTATTGTTATAGACTGTAGGTGTCACTTCAATCATAGAGTTATTAGCCCTCTGATCGGCTAGTAATAGCTATCTCGCCAATTTCCTTGTCCATTTCCTAGTAGTTAATACCTATTTGTCATTAATAGTACATTGACTTGGTCATAACGCATAACAATTTTGCATTGTAATTGAAATCCACTTGTGCTTGTGTATTCGATCAATATTCGCAGAATAGATTTATAGACAAAGCTGTTATCAGTTCACTCAACGTTCATGCGATTGTCTGTATAATACGGATTAAGGACGTATAGTGGTTGTCTATTTATTTGACGAACTCTATGTTAAGGCCCTCTCACGTTTGGTCAATCAACCGAAATGAAGCATTATTTCATTTAATGGCGTCAGTGCCATATTTATACATTGTTAGATTTCGCAAATATGACCAATGGCACGTAGAATATAGATTTTGATGTTAGAAGATTATTTTGTATTGTTCGTTGGAAAAAAACGGACACTGGTAAGGACAACTTATAACAACTTAGAAGTAAAAACCGGCCAGCCTTGATAAGACTCATGAAATCCAGTTTCTTAATGATAAGTATTCAAAATTGATCGTCATCGTAATAATCAACGCCGAATATCAAAAAGCCAATTATCATCGTAAACCAAAGATGGTTACTCGATGTTTTTTATTAATAAACTATTTTGAATCTCACAATAGCTTGTACTTAATTTTCTTTAAGCTTAAAAATTACTCTATAATTACTTTAAAGCATATTACCTTCTCTGAAAAGATATTAATATTAAATGAGTTTAATACATGTACATATTGGAAGTACTTTACTCTGAAATTCTTAACTTCGAGAAAACAAAAACGAATTCTTAAATCCGACGAGCGTTTTGAAAGAGTATTGAGTGGTTTCGATTGAAGTAAAGTTTTATTTGGTTTTGGTGGAAGTGTGTGAGGTGTGCTAACGACCGAGAGTTCGTTTCGTTCCATATGTTGTAAAAAGCCTTCCATATACTCACTGGTTAGCGGGGCTGATGGCATTTCAGGCTTCGTCTCCTCCACACAGATCTCTGGGTTGCATTCTGAAAAAAAGAAGATAATTTAAACTGATTGCTCACACGCGAGAATTGTTAAACCAGTGACGCACTAGGTTTACTTAGAAAAATATCATCTTACAATGAATTGTGTACAAATAATTCATACATTTATTCTTTATTTTTTTTAGTGTCGTAATTATGGCTTATAATGGAGAGAGCGAGAGAGGACACATCCCTAATCGTGTACAAGTGTTTGCATTTTTAAATTCAAACGTCTGAATAAAAATAAACGGTTAATTTATTTTAAATTTAGGGACAAGGATTTTGTCCTATCGTGGGTTCGTTTACACACATACAAATTTTAAACAAATCACCTAGATCCAAAACATATACAAATTTTAAACAAACTACCAAGATCCGATACGTTGTCAATTACACAAAGTGTTATTCCTTACGGGAATCCAACTTGCGCTAAGTTACATAGTAGCCAGTTACCCACCCACAAAGACAATCGTGTAGTCAATATTGAAACTCCCAGAAGTTTAATTGTAAAGCAATGCCAGGCCTCGTTTTGTGGGTACTTTGTGTGAATTTGCATGCAGGTATGTTACGTAGATAACTGGAATGAAATTCCATATAAACTGAGTGATGAATTGGTGGTATGTTACTAATTTAGTATTTCAGTTCGTTTTGCTTTGGTGTTGAATACGAATAACTCGCGGCGTGCACTATTCGTTCATGTGGATTGTTATCATAGTCATTCATTCGTTGAATATGTATGTATTTGAAACCGATTATATGACGAGAAATTCACGTACTCGTACTTAGAATACGTACGTTTATTTTCATTAGTTTTTGATACACTAGAGTATTTAACTACGTTAAGATGATTTGCTTAAGTGGTTTACAAAATGGTTTTTAATTTTTCTTAATTGTATTTTATGTATTTTTTAAATTATTTTACTGGTAGATAGCTAAAATGTAAATAGGTGGTATATATAAGCTATATATATTAGGCTTGATTTGATTATTTTAGTCGACCTTTGAACGCTGCTTCTCTCCGCCGCCCATGGACACCCACAACAACGCACTCGCTTTGCAGACCTTTTGGGGATTAGGGATTTGAAGATTTAGGGATTGGGGAGGGATTGGGGTAGGGGTAGTATCGGGTCTTCAGTAACCTCACTCACACGGCGAAACACAACGCTGTGGTTGTTTCACTCCGGTCGAGCCGACCCATTCGTGCCGAACCATGGCTCTTCTACAATTAAGAAATGTGTGCTGCTGTTTTTAAAATCCCGGGACACATTAATTTTATACGATTGCGAAACCGCAGACGGAACCTAGTTGTTGATAATATTATCTGTTGCTATAAGCAAAGACTGCGTTATTCTTGTACAAAGGTTACAATGACGACAATTTGGTTCATTAACCTTAGCCACTCGCTACGAATGCTACGATTGCTACGACTGCTACAATCGCTACGAACTTGCGTCTCCAATATCTTACTCATTATTTGGATAGTTTGGTAGAATATTATCATTATATTTTCTAGCTTTCTTAGAATTATAAATCCCACAAAGGATATCGGATTTCTCTCTTGGTTCTGACGTATAAATATTATGGGTAATAAAGTTATTAAGGATCCCAACTAATTAACCTACTTAAAAAAGGCTCGGGCTATGAAAGGAATTTACGTAGTTGTTTTAAATCATTCGAGTTGCTATTAGCAATTCTATTCTAATTAGGTACCTACATATGTAGTACTGTTAGCAACTAAGAATCAAAAATATAATTTTGTTTATCATTAAGTTGTATATTATTCGTATACGTAAAGAGTACGTCAACTTTAATAAAGTATGAAAATATCGCAACTGTAAAATTTAATTGCCTAAGAATATGAATGTATGGAAAGGAAAATCAACAGATTGAATAACGAACAAAAACATGGCATATTTGCGTATCTCATTACAAGCATGTAAGTGCAGTTTTCCAGCCATTTTATGTAGCTCGTTCGCGACAATGCGTCGCTACAAAGAGTTACACAATACTATCACAGTAGGTTACTTGCATGTTGTACTACAAAGGGAAGTGGCGACCTCGTGGACTGATGGTAAACACGTCGCGAGAGGGCGCTCCAGTCGCTTCCATCGTCCACTGCAATTTAGATTTGCAATGCATGAACCTGGTCTCTACTCGTCCAGTCATCGAATTTTACAGCGCTCCGCATAAAAGCCTTTTTCACTAATTGACTTACTACACCTGTGTTCTCCTAAGTGGAAACTAAAATAGGATTAAGCCTGTCATACCAAAAAATATGAATTTAATCGAAGGCTATTTTTTGAGATAATTTAGTTACTCCCTTAAAACAACTTTTTTAACTGGATGGATAGGATTTATTTTGCTGCAAACTTTTTGGAATCATTTTGTGCGAATGCCATTTGTTTTATTGGTTTTCAAATAAACCAATGTATATTGAAACAAGAGTCACGTGAACCAATCTATTATACTCGTATGTAGTATCTATGTTCTATTTTTCTGTCACACAGATTCCAATGTGAAAAATAAGAAATATGTTTTTTTTTGTTTCCAACAAAATGAGCCTAGAAACCCATCTCTAAACAAAAATCAGTTTAACACGTTATTGATAGTCATTTATCGAGTTACCAAGTGTATAACACTCAACAGGCCGCTGCCACCGCCGACGCCGCCATCGGCGCCCAGCTCTAATTAATAAAAGACAAAATCGATGCAAGTGCCCAAGGCGGTTTTTAATAAACGGCTTGTACTTTTACATTACTTAGGGTATGAGATGGGAGTTAAACTGTTTTACTGGTAGGAACAAATTTAAATAGAATTTTTGTTTTCTCAAGACTACCTTATCCTGGAGCAAAAAAGGATGTAGGTAAGTACTTTAAAATCGCTTAATTCAATTTGACTCCTAGAATTTGACAATAATATACCTTCTTCTTGGACAATTAAAACATGCCACAGTCACTTATATGTATTTAAAAAAATATAAATAATAATAAAAAAAACGTGAGTTTTGTATGACATGAAGCAAACAGGAAAAGCCAATTTCGTTTATATTTTATTAAACAGCTACGCTAGTAACGGAGCCCGGTTAAATAAAATAATTAATTTACTCTCATTCACGCTGACCTCGTTTTCCTTGAAAGTTTGAAATAATTATCTACGATCTGTTTAAAAAAGATAAAATGATCTTTTTAACATTCAATGTTTTATGTTGGAATTTTTGAAAGCTCAACCGGCCGAATTTGTTTGCTATGGACCCTTGATAAAGGACTGAGGTATAGAATGAAATGTTTATTGGTCGGGAGGGAGAGGGGACTGGAAATTACCTGCGTGAAAAAACATAATGTGAAAACGTGATATAACGGGTGAGGGAGGCAGTTGGAAGTGTTTACAGCGCAAAATGTAGATACGTACAATCTCGATATGTATCAAACGGTCCAGCGGAATCGTTAGCAGAGAAGGACAAAGATAAATAATTGTTCTTCTACGATTGACCTCGTTTAATCGTCTAGCAAATAAAATGATTATTATAATATTGTTTTCCACATTTCTATTTAAATAGCTCGAAAATCTAAATATATAAAAATGAATATGAAAATGTGTTGGTTAGCGCATAACTCAATAACGCCTTTGCCAAACCTTTTCTTGTTGTATTTATTATTATCAGGAGAAGGTTCTTATCAAAGAAAATATACGAAAAATAGAGAAGAAGGTTGTGAAAAGTTGCCTTTTTGTTATTAGCGAGATAGTTGGACCCATGCGAAGCGGGGGCGAGCCGCTAGTTACATTATAAAATATATCGTAAAATAGTATTTAAAAATATGAAAATAGGAGCCAACCGGCAGAGGAAAGAAGGTCCAAGTATTATATAATTATTAATCAGTAGTTTGCAACGTGTTGTGATAATTGTAACAGCAGCTAGTTCTATCAACATTTACGTTGGCAGTTTATTTAACCTACTAAATATTAGCGCGATGTCGTAGAGCCCATTCTAGGAAATATGCGCTGTGTGCAGTAGCAGGTGTTAATATAATTGATGAATTATTCAATTTGTGGTAATAGACTGTATTAATTGAATATATATTATCTATTCATATCACACTGGAGTGCTTAATACTCCTAATCATTTAGAATGTTATAATATACTGGATGGAACTGTATCATCTTACAATAAGTACTAACATTATACATACACTTATTATAATATAACTATTAACATATCGTAGGATTATAATATGATTTTTCATTTTTAAAGTTATCCACACTGTGATTTTCTCCTGTGTCTTGGTTGCGGTTACAATCATATAATTTCACATACACATCAACAACCCCGCAATAACTATTTGTGGATTACAAAAATAGTTGTTCCGTGCGGGAATCGAAACCGCGCGATACGTTGCACGGCAACCAGTTGCACCGCCACCACGCCAACCGTGTAGTCAAACCTTTCTTATTTATTTTAAGTATGTACTACTAACTACATAATGTAAGTACTCGTTATCTTCGATTCCTGAATTTTTTAAAGTATCTGAAACTAGGTATTTTGCCTCAAAAATTAGGTGTTTATAATTCCTGACACATGAATGTCGGTAGGTAGGTAGGTACGCTAAGCCCTCATACTTATTATTATTATTATAACGGGAAATAACAAACAAAGTTTCCTACGTTGTTGAGGAGTTAAGCCTAACAAACGATCCTCCGTCACTCTGACATGATTAGGGCGCATACCTACAAGAAAATGTCTTATCAGTCTCAAAGATTTATTTCAAGTGAGTATAAATTGCCTTAGCGGACTTACGGCGCTGTAAGCATTTACGCAATTATTATCAACAAACAATTGAATATTCACAACAATTCATATACATATATATGTGTATACAAGTATAGTGTGGGGCAAAGCTTTTTTTTAAATATGTATAAAAATCAATGCCACTTTTCGTTGTAATGTTATAACTCAACAATGCCTTTACCGATTTGGGTAATTTTGGTTTTGAATTATTCGTGGAAGTACAGAAAAGATTTGTACGTAGAGGAAATTAAAAAAGTATAAAATTGACATCCATGCAAGCATAGCCGCGGGCGACTGCTAGTATTATATGAAATTGTTCTCCCTGAAAGCATGAAATGAAGGTATTATTAATATTAGTACCCATATAAAATTAATTAATTATGTTTAACAGCTTGTTTTCTTTTTTGGGAAGAAAACTTGACTAGTTTCAAGCCACGTTTTGGCTAGTTTCCTAAGCAGAATGCGCTGACGAACGAACGCATGACGCTCGCGAACGTCGCGAAAAGTAGGCGGCGTAATTGATTTTTATAATAAGTATTTTTTGTCATAACACTACAAATTACAAGCCTTGTCGTCTTTGTTTTAATCGTAACGCCTGACGCTAAAACTTTTTATATTAGGTAATATTATGTACAATGACGTCAAACTGATTAAAACCATTAAATGCTACACATTCGTTGACACGATTCTCATAGAACCCGACGCCTATTGTGCTAACTTGACTAACTTTCACGCCAATGCCAACAAGTACTTATACAAAGTTTCAATTTAATCGGACGAACGACGGACGTGTGGATGCCGATCCACGGAGTACGAACATACAAACATTTTTTAGATACGTGGTTAAGTAAGTTCTTGATACTTTGTAGAATTAAACGAAAATCAGCAAAGAATAGAAAATGCTATATATTAATTTAATATATTGAAAACAACATCGTCCATAAACAGTGTGGAAGAGATACGCTTCGTCGCGAATGGACCGGATCGACCGGAGTGATATCACGGCGTCACAGAAAACCAGTGTGAAGAAAACTTGCGTTGTGGTTCGTCGTTTGAATAAAATTACCGGAGGGACAAACCTTTACCCCCATCCTAAATCCTCAAATCCCTAATAACCCGCAAGAGGCTGGCATTGGCTGATAACTGATGACGACAGCCAATAAGGCAACACACTAATAGTAACTCCTTTAATATTACGAGTGTCTATGGGCGGCGTTGATTGCTTAACATCAGGTAATCCGTATGCTCGTTTACCGACTTATGACATTAAAAAACAACATTATTAATAATCCAAACTAATATTATAAATGAGAAAGTAACTCTATCTGTCTGTCTGTCTTTTCTTCACGCCTAAACTACTGAACTTATTTGCGTGAATTTTTTTACAGATATAGTTTGGAACTCGAGAAATAACATAGGATAGTTTTTT